TGCCTGCTTAGAATATTCATCATCCATCATCATAATAGCTACCAACGGTTTGTCAGGTGCTGTAAACCGCTACCTCTTCCAAGCCCCAAGCAAGATCCTTGGAGGCCCTAAGCACTGACAAGACCTCAGGGTCCCAGGGCAAAAAGCCCCACCTCCCCTCTGCAATATGTGATTCAAAGTACAAGCTACACTGAACTCTAAAACCTGAATAAGGAAGTCCACCAAGATTCAGACTCTTCTCGTGGGAGCTACTTCAGTGCTGTCTATTAAACCAGATTTTTCTAAAAAAAAAAAAACCTCAGCGCCCTATTTTGTTGCTGCCTCCAGCCTGCACTGAACACCTATGGGTGGCCCAGTCCCAGGCGTTAACGTCAGAATGACCTTAGCAGGTGAGGGTTGTCCCCTTTCCTCAGAGGATGACAGTGAGACCTTGGGAGGCCAAGGGACTTGTCCGAGTCACCAGTCAGTAAATGGCAGAGCAGCTACGAAGCTCTGCCCCACTTCCTGGCCATCCTCATCCTGTGGGCTCAGTCTGGTTTGAGAGCATAGATTTGAGTCATCTGCTTGGGCTCAAAAGCCAGTGTCATCATTTACTATTTACTACCCGGTGTCCTTGGGCAAATTTGTTCTCCCCTCTGCTTTTGGTTTCTTCCTCTTTCTTCGCGTAGTGGAAACCTTACTAATTCCCATTTCTGGCTGTGAGGGTCAAACTGCGCCCGGCTCAGCGCACCAGGCTCCTTTCCTACTGTTTGTATAGGACCAGGCCTTCTCCAAGCACTTGACCTGATGAGTCCTCACAGCAACCCATTTTACAGAGAGGGAGACTGAGGCAGTGAGCCAGTAAGTAATTTCTCCCAGGTTACACAGCTAGTAAATGGTGGCAGTAGTAACAGTTGGCTAGTAGTTGTTGGGTCTTCCCTACCGGTTGGGCCTTCCCTGACCTGTTTGAATGGTGGGCACTTGCTGGGGACGGTCACTGTCCTTTCCCTCACCGAACCGGGCGTGTCCCCGGAGGGCAGGGCAGCGTCGCGGGCCGCAGGTGTGCTGGGGCCTTCCACCGCCCACTCGGGCAGAAGGGAGGCGGCCTCTCGGCCCTCCCAGGCTCCGCCAGCCCTCCCCGCCGGCGGCCCCGCAGCGGGGGCGCGGGGCGGGCGGGGGCGCCGGGGGGGCGGGGCCTGGAGCCGGTAAAAGCGGAGCGCGCGTCGCGCGGCCCCGACTGACAGCCATGGCGCCTCCGAGCCTGTCTCGGGCGCTGGGCCTGGGCCTGCTCGCGCTCTGCCTCCTGCTCCTGCTCCGCGACGCCCGCGCCCGCCCCGGCGAGCGCTTGATCGGAGGCCGCACGAACCTGTCGCCCAGCGACCCGCAGGTGCAGAAGGCGGCGCAGGCGGCGGTGGCCGGTTACAACATGGGCAGCAGCAGCCTGTACTACTTCCGAGACACCAACATCCTCAAGGCGCAGAGCCAGGTGCGGCCGGGCCGGCGGGCCGGGGCCGGGGGCGGCGGCGGGCCGGGCGGGGGCAAGGCCGGGGAGGCGGCCGGGGGGGGGGCAGCGGGGGGGGGAGGTTAAGGGGATGCCACAAGAGCGTTCAGGACGTTTCGACACGATGTATTTTTTAAACTGAATTAATGCCAAAAATGTAGTAGGAACAACGTCTCTAGATTTCATTTTTTTTTTTTAAGATTTTATTTATTTATTTGATACAGAGAGTGAGAGAGCACAAGCAGGGGGAACAGTAGAGGGAGAGGGAGAAGCAGGCTCCCCGCCAAGCAGGGAGCTCGATGCGGGGCTCCATCCCAGGACCCTGGGATCATGACCTGAGCCGAAGGCAGACGCTTAACCATCTGAGCCACCCAGGCGCCCCAACATATCTAGATTTCAATAGGGTCTAGCCCTGACTCACATACACGGGGACTCGCTTGGCTCACACTAGCCCCTGCCCTGGGGGGTGGACTGGGGAGAGGGGAGGGAGGGAGATAGGGCAATGGGCTTCAGGGTGTGTGCACACCTGGGTCTCAGCTTCCTGTGTGGCCCAATCCTCTGCCCCTCTCCCCAGGGGATCTCCCCAGGGATCCCCACCAGAACTTCCCCATCCAGGGTTGGAATGCCGAGGCGAGGCCCAGGCCCCGTGCTGAATGTGGAGAGAGGTGAGAGGTCTGGGTCAAGGGTAGTCTTCCAACACTCCTGACCCGCTCCTGCCCTCCATCCCCAGCTGGTGGCCGGCATCAAGTACTACCTGACCGTTGAGATGGGGAGCACAGCCTGTCGCAAGAACGTGGCCACTGGAGACCGCGTAGATATCACTACCTGCCCCCTTGCCACCGGAGTGCAGGAGGAGGTAATGGCCCTGCACCCCACTTCCCAGCACCCAAGGCTAGGTTGTCCAGCCTGAACCCATCTGGCTGGCCGCGCTGATGTCTGCCTGAACCTGCCCCTGTCTTCTGGATGATTCAGCCCCCAGGCCAGGGCGGGGTGCAGAGAGGAGGAGACTTGGGGCTTCTTCCTCACTGGACTGGGCTAGAAAGATCTGGGATCTAGTCCTGCCCATTTGACTCATTGACCCTTTGGCCCAGCGACTGTTCCTCTCGCACCCCCGAGTGGAGTGTCGCAGGCTGAGGGTGGCAGTTGTGAGGAGTCAGGCCTGGGACCCAGCCTCACCCCTCCTCTCCCTGCTCTCCCTGCAGAAGCTGCGCTGTGACTTCGAGATCCTAGTGGTCCCCTGGGAGAATTCCTCCCAGCTTCTGAAGCATAACTGCGTGACCATACCATAGACCCCCTATGGGCATGGGAGCTGGAGGGAGCAGGCTCTTCGTGGGAAGGCACTTCAGGTCCATGGGCGTATCTGTCACAATAAACTGCTGGCACTGCTTCTCGCATTGGACTCTCCTCCTCCTCCTCCCCCCACTCCCTCCTCCAAGTCCATGCCCACTTGTGGCAGCACCCCTTCCCCAGGCCAAAGACAGCCCATACCACCCCCAGTTGAGCTTCTGTTGTCTCAGCCCACACAGTGCTGAGGGCGCAAGGTTCAGTCCCCAAATGTGGAGTTCTCCAAACACGTCAGCGTCACACAGACAATCAAACGTCCAAGGACTCTCACTATTCTCGGAGTTAAGGGGTGGGAGACAGACTCACAGGAGAGGGATGATGCCCCAAGACTGAGCAGGGGCAGGCGTCAGGGAATACTCCGAGGGGTGCCAGAGCTCCCAGGACCACCTAGGGAGGCACAGGCTGGGTTCAGCCGGCTGAGCTCCCAACCTGTGGTTCCTATACCCGCCCGCGGGCCCGCGATGCCAGGGCCCCTGTAGGCCATAGGGCTGGAACAGTGGTTTTCAAGTACATGGGCCATAGGCCAGAGGGGGGTCCCCGGTGCTTTGCCCCAGGCAAGACCCCTGGAAGGGGCTGGACAGGAAGCCCAAAGGAGACCAGGGTCAAATCTGCCCACAGGAGGGATGAGAGGGCAGATGTGATGTGACGTCATTTCAAGAAAACAGAACTGCAACTTTTTCTGCACAACTGAATTTGTGGCTACAAATCATACTATCCACACACACACACACACACACATAGAACTCTCAACACACACACACACACATAGAACTCTCAACACACACACACACACATACACTGAAAACACAGCACACACTTGGATGCTCCCAGATACCACATACATATCCAGAAAATCACACACACAGCCTGGCCACCCAGAAACACACACACTGAAGCGGCCCCCTCCACCCCAAACAACCTGGAGCTGTATACAGACCTCCACACACACAGCCCTGGAGACCCACACGCCCCACCCAGAGCTGGGCCTCAGATGCACCAACACACACCCACACCTGCGAGCTGGGACCTACTGAGGAACAGCTCCCGGTCCCAGGCCCAGGCCTCTGCTCTCAGAGGCCCTACTGGGGTAGGGATGGGGGGCGGGGGTAGACGCTAGCAAGGCGACTGGCACGAGGAGGTCTGCGGAGCCAAGGGGCTGAGCTGGACAGGAGCGAGGGCTGCAGGGGCAAGTTCAGCCCTGCTTCTGTCCCCACCCGTTAGATGCGGCAGCTCAGGCAGCCCAGGGCCGGGCAGTGTGGCCGTGGCTCGGAAGGGCCCCCGCGGGCCACCCAGCACAAGCCTCCAGCCTGGAGCTGGCACAGGGAAGCGGCAGGAAATGCTTGTTGAACGAACGTGTGAGGTAGTGGGTGAGGCGAGGCCCGCAGATACCTGCCAGGTGGCTTCTCCACCCCCAGCATCTGTGCCCTGATCCCAGAAGCCATTTCCTCGGCACAGTCTCTCCCCAGGTCCTGGGCCAGCCTGGAGGTAGGGGGAAGACTGGCACGAGTGTCACCCCTCTGTCCCCACTCCGGAGTCCTGCTCCTGACCCCCTCCAGCCTCTACTGCACCCTGGCTTCACTCGACCAGAGATGAGGTGGCTGCTGGGGACAGTGGAGCACCCCACTCTGGTCCAGAAGCCCCCAGGTCTCCAGCACCCTGCCTGGACCCAGGCACTTGGGGACCTGGGGCAGAGCCTCACCTCCACCCCCCTGCCGTGGGGACAGGGGCTCTGGGCATTTTGCCCAGGTTCAGGCTGAAAGTAGGGGGACTCACCTAAGCCTTAGGCCAGGTAGGGTGGGGAGTGACCATTAGGCTCATTCCTTGCTTTCCTCTAACAGAGGCTCATCCATTCCCCCCACCAACACACCCCCACTCCCACACCCCCACTCATGTTCCCTGCACCCTCACCAACAGCCGGAGGCCAGGAGGACTTGAGCAGCCTCCATCCTACTTCCCCTCACTGAGGTTCTTTAGCCTGACCCCAAGCAGGGCAGGGTATGGCAATGACCTCTGACTTCTGGGTGCACGCTATCCCCATCGAGTTGGCATTCTCGTACTGGATTCCGAGGGTCTTGGTAGGTCCAAGTTCCGGGCTGTGAGCCCCTATTTCTGGAGCCTACTGGCCCTCTAGGCCCTGATAACTAGGGGCTGTTCTAGTTGGTTCTTTTTCTCCCAACTCCTGGGCCAGATGGACCTTCTTCCCGAAAGCAAGGTGACTGCCCACTCACCCCTCCAGCCCTGAGCCTGGCCCCCTTTCTGAGTCACCGCTCTGGCCGCTGCCGATGCACTGCGGGCCCGAGCTGGAATGCGGGCCCTGGAGAGGACCAGGAAGAGCGCCTCTCACACACAACACTCCCTCTGTCTCTCTCTCACACACACACACCAGCAGTGCACAGTTCCCCTGCCCTGTGCCTTGGCTTAGCCAGGGAGGACACAGAGCCATTTGGGGGTTTAAAACTCTGTTAGGGCCCGGTCCTGCAGGCCCGATGATCATTCCAGTAGATCGGGGGACTTGTCTTGACCCACAGCAGTGGGCAGCTTGCCAGAGGCTGCAATCCGCATCCCGTGTCTCTCTGCATCCAGGGGTCACTTCCTGAAGTCCTCTTCTCCAGCCTGTGGGGGTGGGATGGGCGGATGACTGAGCCAGTGCCGGCCTCTGCCTTCCCCCACGCCCATGTGACTGTTCGGGGCCCTCTGGGCACAAGCCTCCCATGCCTGGCCTTCTGGGGTCTTCCCACTCTGGCCCCTCTCTCCTCTGGTCCTGCCTGGCGCACCTCAAACGCAGCGTCCACAATCTCATCAAGAACGGACGCCTGGGAGCGGAATTTCTGTTGATGATGCTCCACGCCGGCCACCAGCTGCAGGAAGTGGAAAAGGAGTTCCCGCTGCCTTGGGGGGAGAGGGGGGGAAGGGGTAAGCCTGAGCTGACCTGCCCGGCAGGGTCATCCAGGCTGCCAGAGCAACCCCCACAGCTCTTCTCACCGGCCTCCCGCCAGCCCCCCATTACAGTTTTTCTGAGTGGGGCCTTTCATGCCGTATCTCCTTTCCACAAATAAAAAGCCCCCATTTGTGCCAGTGCTAGAGAGGGTTCTAACTGCTGTTTACCCTCCCAGTTATCCATCCCTCCATCCTTCTGTCCACCCCTCTGGTGGCCCCTCCAACTACCCCATACCTCTCTGTGCACCCACTCACCCACTTACCCATTCATCCGCCCACCAATCTAGCCATTCACTCACTCATCTGACCACCCTTATCCCTCTATCTACCTGCTCTTCCCTGGACCCCCCCACCCACCCCTTCACCATGTTGTGCAGTCAGCCATCCACCTAACCGCCCCCCCCAACCGTTCACCCAGCCCACTACCCATCTGTTAACTCCCTCATCACCTGCCCGTTTTATAAATCCATCCATCAAGTGACACTAAAATCAATGAACACTGCCAGGCGCTCCGAGGACACAGATGTTAACAAGAAACAGTCCTTGCCCTTAGGAAGCTTCGCCTGTGGCAAAGTGTTTACGCTCGCGAGAAGAGTAAACCAGAGTGCTAAGGGCCCAGTCCTGGGGATCAGAAAAGACTTCCAGAGCAAGTGTCATTGAGCCGAGTTGGAAAGACACGAGAAGCTTTGCCAGGCTTGGGCAAGGTTCCTGGTCCGCTACTCCAGAGGAGCTGGAGGGTACTGGGGGCCAGGGCAGGCCTCAGGGAAGGAGGCCGTAGAGAGTGGGTGAATTGGAGATGTAAAGTCTGATGAGGAAGGAAAAGCCCAAGCTGCTTTTAACAAAGACCACTCTCTAAATAAATAAAAAGAATAAAAGAAAGGAAAGATTAGGGCGCCTGGGTGGCTCAGTTGGTTGGGCAACTGCCTTCGGCTCAGGTCATGATCCTGGAGTCCCAGGATCGAGTCCCGCATCGGGCTCCCTGCTCAGCGAGGAGCCTGCTTCTCCCTCTGACCCTCCCCCCTCTCATGTACTCTCTCTCATTCTCGCTCTCTCAAATAAATAAATAAATCTTTAAAAAAAAAAAAGAAAGGAAAGATTAAAATAACCAACAACAAACAAAAACAAAGGGCACTCATAGTGGAGGTGGACCGATGGGGAAGAGTCTGGAGGCCCAGAGACCCCCATAGAAAGTGTTACCGAGGTGCCAAGGGCCCACTAGGCCAGTGGCCAAGTTGCTGGAACAGGGGTGGGGTGGGACGGGAGGGCCAGGATGTGAAGCGAGCAGGATTGGAACTCAGCTCTCCCAAATCTTGGTCACTTGAGTCTGCCATTGGCAGCCAGAGAACATTCCAGGCAGAGAAAACAGTGTGGACAAAGGCCCTGAGGTGGAGAAGTATGTGCTATGCTTGGGAAACAGTGCGGGGACAGCAAGAAAGTAGCCAAGGAAATGAGGGAGGTTGGCAAAGGCTGGGTCACAGAGGGCCTTTGGGGCTTAAACTTGGATGGCGGGTGAGGAGGGGCTGGAGGTGGCCAGTAGTCGGACTGCCCTGTCTGCTGGTTTGGAGCTAGTCTGGATGAGGTGCAGCGGGGCCCAGCTTTCAGAGGGAAGGCTCTCTGAGGAGCCAGGCCTGAGAACCAGGAAGCAGGAAGTGTGTGCCAAGGTCCCCCAGCCATGAACACAGCCACAAGTCCCCAGCTGTCCTGGCTCAGCTGGCCAATCGCTTCGACGGGAATGGGATGTTGACCATCTGCCTCCCAGGCCTTTACCCAAGCTGTTCCTTGACCCTCACTCTTCACCCCTCCACCTAGCCTAAGTCCAGCACCCTCATGGCCCAGCACAGGTCATTGGCAATTGGGCTCTCATGGGCATGGGCTAGTCTGTGTCCTGAAGAACTCGCAGGGCCTGACCCAGAGCAAGGGTCAGGGATGCTTCCTGAGTAAACAGATGAGCAGACTCCCTGCTGCCCTGCCTTTGCCCTCAGCCTCAGAGGGGCTCTCATGGCCCAGGAAGCACTGCTGGTGGGACTCTCCTGGTGGTGCAAGCTGGCTCAGGGGGAGCAGAAGCCACTCATGGTCTCCACGTCCCACCCATAGGCTCTACATGGGCCTTGGTGCCCCACCCCCTTCCAGAGAGGTGGGCAATGTCCCTTGCCCTGTCAGCCCATGGGCCAGACCCCAGGCCCCTCCCCTTAGACTCGGGGCCTCCCCTCCCTTTGCATCTCCTTACTTCTCAGTCATAGTCCCAAATTTTTTCTCGATGAGCTGCTTCTGTTTGGTGTGTTCACTCACCACCTCTTCAGGGTCTGAAAGTAAAAAAGGGGGCAGTAAAAAAGATGCCCAGATTGAGAGGAGGTAGAAGACACCCCATGTGTCATGGAGGTAATTCAGAGGGGCTAAAAGAGTTTTTGCCCATGATGCCCCCAAAGAGATGGCTTCTCTGGGCGTGGTGTGTGTATCAGATTTGTTTGTTTGTCTTTCCCTCTGGTAAAAATCCCCCAGTTTTCCCGAGGAACCACTCCTGTCCCTTTTGGGTCCACCTTGTCTAGCAGGGGGCTGACCCCACCGCCCACCTCCAAAGACATGTGACTCAGGCCTGGCTAATCAGAACAGCCTATTCTTTTGGCTATTGTGATTGGTTCCAAAATAGGTGATCAAAGCAAAGAAGATACATATCCGGGACTTTGCTATAACTACAGGAAGAAGAGGAAGTCTCTGCTTGGCATGATAGGAACGGCTAACCTGTGAGGATTTCCCACCGCAAGGGAAGAGCCACCCTAAGCACAAAACCATGCGGAGGACACAGAGCAGAGAGATGGAAAGAGACCAAATCTTGACCAGTATTCAAGTCCTGGATCTAGCCATTCCTGAAAACCACACATTCCTGAAAGCCCTCAATTTGCTAAGTAATTTCTGCCAATTAATTCCTCTTTTTGCTTCAGCTTTTTTGCACTGTCTTTCCCTGATCGAAGGGGCAGGTGAGGGACCTGGTGGCCCTTTGGGACCCTTAGTCCTCTAGTGTTGATGAGCCTAAGAGTGGGATCCTTAGAGCTCAGATTATCTAAAGTTCTGAAGATCTTTAAGCAGGAAGCAAACCAACTGTCTCAAAATCAATTCATTCAGAAAGTCAAGTTTATAAAAATGAACATGTCCAGGAAACTTGATTTTTAATGACTCTCAATCCACTTTGAGTGACTCTGGACAAGTATGTGCAATACTTTGACGAAACCCTCCAAGGCAGTCGAAACCATCCCATGTAAAACCAAGTGCTCTAACCTTTGTAAGTTATTAGAAGAAATGAGCATTTGGTGAATCATAATTTGGCTAATTAGTCATTTCACAAATGGGGCTTTCAGGAATTGACAATCAGTTTAATTGCTTTTCAGATTATCTTAGAGTTCTTCGGACCAAAGTTCTTTTTTTTTTTTTTTTTAAGATTTTATTTATTTATTTGACAGAGAGCGAGAGCGCACAAGTAGGCAGAGAGGCAGGCAGAGGGAGAGGGAGAAGCAGGCTCTCCGCTGAGCAGGGAGTCTGACGCGGGGCTTGATCCCAGGACCCTGGGATCATGACCTGAGCCGAAGGCAGCCGCTTAACCAACTGAGCCACCCAGGCGCCCTGGACCAAAGTTCTAAGCTCTGAAAGTCCTCCTGAGTCTCAGATTCTCAAACCCTGCCACTGGACCTGGAATTATGTGTCCAACTGCGGAAGGAGGGCCAGTACCTGATTTGCTGAGTTCGGTCAGTGGGTCATCCAGTAGCTTCTCGTGGATCCGGGCGGCCCTCTGAGAAGAAGAGGCTTTTGTCCCGCCCGAGTCCCCTCCCTGTCTGCCCTTTCCTGGAGCACCCTCCTCCCTTCCCCCCAGCCTCTGCGCCCACCCCTTCATGGTTCCCTCCCAGGTCCGCCTGCCCCACCCCACTCAGTACCTCCTGCTTTACTTTCTCCAGGCCCTTGAGCAGAGCCATCTGGAAGTTGTCCACCAGGACAGCAATCACCAGGCTGGGGATGGTGGGGGTGGATAGTGGGGTACTCTCCAGGAGGAGGCTGTAGGAGAGGCCCTGCACCCTCCTCTGGGTTCATTGTGGCATGACCAAGGAGAGAGGGCTGGGGAGGGGTGCCCCAAGATTAGGTGGGGGTGGCGGTGAAGCTAGAGAGCCAAGTAGGGATGGGGTCCTCACTTGAGGAAGATGAAGTATTGGATGATGATGTAAATCATGAGAATGGGGATGATGTACCAGGCGCCTAGGAGAGAGGGTGTCGTTTGAGCTGGGAGTTCCTTGCCCACCCTCGCCACACCCCTGCCAGCAAGGATCAGATGCCCCGCTTTGCAGATGGGGTAACTGAGCCCTCGGGGTCTGCCCACCCAGCCAAGCCCCTGCCTTCCACCCCGCCTGGGTCCTGTCCTACCCTGGGCCCGGCTGTCCAGGTAGATGAGGGACCAGTCATCCAGGGTGAGCATGGTGAAGAGGGTGAAGATGGTGGAGAGGATGCTCCGGAAGCGCTTGGGGTCAGAATGACGGAACAGAGCCCGAAGCACCACTGAGAAGAGGACTGGCTGTTCAGGGCCAAACCGGGCTCGCAGAGTCCCATTCTCCAAGCCCGCTCTGGCCACTACAAACCCGCCCATCACAGCACCTCAGGCAGACCCCAGCCCCCACAGCACAGGATACAGAGGCAGGTAAACATGAGGATGAGGATGGCGGTGATGGATGGCAAGGACCGCGCCAGAGTCCCGGTCACTTCCTGGAGGCTGGTCAAGAAGCTGTGGGCAGAAGTTGAGAGGCTGAGTCAGCAGGGGTGGGGATCTGTGCCCAGCAGCCAGAACTGACACCACCGACAGGGGGGCACTGCTTTGCTAGAGGTTTGGGAGAGTTCAGCCCTCTCTGGAAAATGATTGATCCTAGCAGATGGCAGGAGGCTAATCAGAAGTGGGCTGGAGTCCACAGCCTCTTCGTCCCCCATCCCTTGAACAGGTCACAGCAGATTCCCTGGGAGCAGATTCCACGTGGCGACTTATGCATGGAAAACCCCATTTTCCACACTACCCCATCCTCTTGGTGAACTCTCCCTCTCCCTCTGAGATTCTGCTGAAACATCGCCTCCTTTTGGCTGCCTTCCCTACTCCCATCCAGTTAGGTACCTATCCCTCTCTGCCAACTTGTTTGGGATTTGTGGTCTGCTCAAGTGCATCCGTGTACCCCTTCCTACAGGGTGGGGTGGGCAGCCGCGGCGCAGCTGACCTGAGCCTCCGGAGGACCCGGATGGCCCTCAGGGCCCGCAAACTCTTGAAAACCTTGAAGATCCGGAAGACGCTTTGGTGGTAGACGAAGGAGGAGGAGTTGTACTGTAAGAGCATGAAGTCCAGCATAGCCATGATCATGATGAAGAAGTCTGAGGGCACAGGGGGCTGGGAGTCACGGGCTCCTGCCCAGGTGCCTCATCACCCAGACCTGCAGTCCCCCCAACACCAGCACTCCCTGCCAGTGCCCCTTTTTGTCCCCAGCCTCCGCTGGCAGTCCAGTGGCTACCCCCCCCACACACGCATCCCCACCCACCCAGATCGTTCCAGGAGTCAGAAAAATACTTGAAGCCCAGAGCAGTGATCTTGAGCGCAGCTTCCACCACGTAGATGCAGAGGAAAATGGAGTCCAAGGCCATGAAGAACCACTCTGCAGGGACACCAGGGGCTCACTCGCGGTCCTCGGCAGCAACCCTGGCCCATCTCTCCTCCTTCCCTCTGGACCTCACACACAGTCCCAGTTAGGGAGGACCTGGTTCGGCCCTAAGGGCTGGGTGTCTTAACTGCTCTGTGCCTCAGTTTTCTTGTCCATAAAACAGGGATAATACTGTCACTTGGCCTGACCTCCTGACCTCAGGGAGCTTCTAGCAGCTTCTGCCTAACTGTCAATCTTACCATTTAGAAGCTCGGGATAGAACTGCCGGAACAGAAAAACATTGGAGGAAGACGGCCGGCACGGAATCAGAGAGTGCCTCAGCCTCATTGTCATGCTAAAAACCCTCTCTGAATATTCATCCCAAGCCCTACTAGAAGGAGCCTGCTTTCCCTAGTGAGGAGGTCACAGCTTTAGAAATTAATCCCCTGGATCTCCTTATTTCTACAAATAAAGATGACCTTGTGAGACAGCTCCACCTGGGGTAGTCTGTATAGAACTCACCAAGCAGCAGACCCACTTTGGTCTGGGAACAGTACCAGCCGGCCTGAGAGCGTTTTCATGAACATTGGCTTCACTTAATACAGAATAAGAATGCGGCCAATCTTATGCTCTGCTTCGTTTATTTACGCGGTGTCAGGCCTTTCTCTCACTCTGCTGCCAAGGGTCTCAGGGGCCGCCTTCCCCGGTTTTCCACTCTCACCCCTCCAGTCTCCTGGCCCTTCTAGGCGACCAGGGTTCCCTCTCGCTGCCCCACATTAGGGTCGATGCGCCACCTGGTGGCGATATTACAAACAGCACATTCTCTACTTTAGCAGGCTCTTGTGTGTCTGGCTGGCTGGTTGACCTCAGCAAGATCTCTGAGCCTCATCTTTAACACTGGTCAATGTTGTCTACCTCCCAGGGGTAAGGATGAAATGAACTAAGTTACATAAGCCACCCGGCACTGGATCAGGCCCACAAGAGGGCTAGAACAAGATCTATGGCTTTCTCCATGTGAAAGTGGCTCCTCAGGGGCGCCTGGGTGGCTCAGTCAGCTGAGCGGCTGCCTTTGGCTCAGGTCGCGATCCTAGGGTGGGTCCTGGGATTGAGTCCCGCATCGAGGTCCCCGCTCTGTGGGGAGCCTGCTTCTCCCTTTCTCTCTGCCTCTGCCTCCTCTCTGTTTCTCATGAATAAAGAACATTTTTTTTTTTTTAAGAAAAGAAAGGGGCTCCCCAGCTCTTACCACCCCGGATCTCAACTTCGGCGAAGGTCTGTGCCACAAGCATGGTAGTGTTGAGGCAGACAACGAGGAAGATGAAGGTTTCAAAGGGCAGGGACTGAGTCAGTTTCCTAAGCATTCTCCGGAGGCCCTTAATGAGGTAGCTTAATTTTTCCCACAACCTATAGAAGAGGTCCACAGTGTGCAGCCTCTTGTGGGCCCGCTGAGCTCTGGTGGCTGTAAGGGGAACAGAGAGTCAAGTCTGTGTGGAAGGTAGCATGGGGATCCCAGGCATCCTCCCAGACTAAGTTGGGGTTCATCTTCATGCCTGCCTGCTTGCCTACCATTCACTCACTGAAGTGCCTCTATGCTATCTTGTGCTGATCCTGGGGCTACCCTGGATCCTGGGGCTACTGGACTCCTGCTGCCCCTTCCATGGCAGATGCCAGCTTGTTTGGGATTTGTGGTCTGCTCAAGTGCATCTTGCGGGCTCATGATTCTATACCTCCAGGCCTTTCTTTACCCACGTGGCGACTTATGCATGGAAAACCCCATTTTCCACACTACCCCATCCTCTTGGTGAACTCTCCCTCTCCCTCTGAGATTCTGCTGAAACATCGCCTCCTTTTGGCTGCCTTCCCTACTCCCATTCAGTTAGGTACCTATCCCTCTCTGCTTGTTTGTGAGACTGTTACTCTGTTTACTGAACCACTTGGGGCCAAGCTTGGGGGATTGTGCTTTAATAGCCAAGGTCCCTCCCTGCCCTTAAACAAGGCCCTCTTTCAGACACTGGATGTCTGTCAAGATGCTCACAGTTTAGTGGGGGAAATGTGGACAAATACAATCTACAGTGGTAATTGTCCTGATATGGAGGATAGGCCACCATCACTGGGTGGTCTAGGATTGGTTGTTTAAGTGACCACCCCCCAGTCTTGGAGCCCCTCAAGGACAGGATTTGTTTTCTCTATGCTTCCAGGGTCCAGGCGGGCCAGGGACCCATATTAGACAAGAAGAAATGTTTGAGAAGTGAATGCATATAGGCACAGCAGTGACTGGATGAACAAACTACCAATGGCCTGAAGAGGTACATCATTTAAGGAATAGAAGATTGGATGGTGAGCAGTCAGGTGAGTGAATAGCCAATGGAATATGCATGCAGCTAAGAGTCATGCCTCATGATCTGTGGAAGGTCAGTGCAGGGCCCAAGTCAGGCCTGGAATCTGGGCCAGGCTGTGTGAGTTGGGGGTGGGGGTAGAGAGACTCACTTTTGCGCTTCTGAAATTGCTCATCTTCTTCTACCCAGCTTTCCGAGGAAGTTTTAGAGGAGGAATCCTGAGGATGGACTTTGCTGGACCCCTGGGATGCATGTGAGCGCACTGCACTGTGGGAACGAGTCAAGCTAAAGGCTGAGCGCTGTGCCTGTACCATGCTAGGTTGGAGGGCTACTGAATGAGAAAAGGAAGAGCCAAAGGAGGCTCTGGCCACACTATGAGACTTGTGTGAGCCAAAGACTTGGGAGCTACCATGATGGTACTCCCTGTAGCGGTGATCACCATGGAGATAATCATAACGATGCACACTATGGTGGTGCTCGCCGTGGTGGTGCTCCCTGTGATGGTGCTCACTATGGTGGCCATGGTGGTGCTTGCTGTGGTGGCCATGGTGGTGCTCACCATGGTGGCCATGGTGGCCATGGTGGCCACGGTGGTGTTCACTGTGGTTCCTGTAGTCGTCATAGAAATGAGGTATCGAGCGATCACGGTAGGCGTCCGCATAGGAATGGTGGGAAGAGGGCTCTCCATGATGAAGAGGCCCTCTGTGGTGGTGGGCTTCATGATGATGGTGCCTACCATGGTGATGGGCCTCACTGTGATGGTGAGGGCCACCATACGTGTAGGAATCTTTATGGTAGTAAGGCTCACCTTGGTGATGGAGCCCACTATGGTGGGAAACCTCACCACCATGGTGGTGAGACCCACCATGGTGGTGGGGTTCCCTATGGTGGTGAGACCCACCATGGTGGTAGGGCTCACTGTGGTGGTGGGACCCCCCGTGGTGGTGGGACCCCCCATGGTGATAGGGCTCACCATGGTGGTGGGGCCTACCATGATGTCTTCTACTACCATGGTGGTGCTCACCATCAAAGGGGCCCTCACCAAGAGAATGATGGGAGAAGATAGTGCTATGAGAAGGAGCCAGGGCAAGGGATGTGAGATGGTGGGCTCTACCAGGTTGGTGGGCCTCACCATGGTGATGGGAGTGGTGGGAGTGATGGGAGTGGGGAGAATGGTGGGAGTGGGGGGAATGGTGGGAGGGGGCATTGTCATGAAAGTCTTGGAATTCATCAAGGTGGTGAGGTCCACCATGATGGTGGGACTCACCGTGATGATGGGATGTTCCATGATGGTGGGACCTGCCATGATGGTGGGATATGTCATGATGGTGGGACTCACCATGGTGCTGGGACACACCGTGGTGATGGTACCCATGATGGCGGTGGACTCCGCTATGGCCTGGCCTGTGATGTGGGGTTGGTGAGCCAGGGTGAGATAACACATCCAAATCATTGGTGTCTGCCTCATTTTGAGCTGTTTCAGCCAATGAGGATTGATCCATGACTATGCTGGTAACACTGGAATGAAGAGATCTCAAGATGTGGGCCCAACAGGCTCCTCCCTGAATTGTCCTTCCAACCGATGGCACTGGCACTTCTAGGAAAGCCTGAGTCTTCTCATGGAATTCTCCCTTTATGATGTCACCAGCAGACCCCTTCTCAGGTCTAATTCCCAAATGCCTCCTTCTGGGGTGTAGTTCAGAATCAAGGATCATTGTGTCTAACCTCTTCATTGTAAAATGAGGAAACTGAAGTCAAGAAAAGGGAAGGGCTTATTTCCCAAGGGTCAGCTGGGAAGATGGCAGAGGACCCTAAGCTCACTTCATCCCACAGATACAACTAGATAACACATCAGTGTAAATAACCCAGAAAACAATATGAAGACTGGCAGAACAAACTCACAACTAAAGGTAGAGAAGAGGCCACATCAAAGAAGGTAGGGAGGATCAAGACATGGTTTGGGAGCAGAACAGACCATAGCTGTCCACAGTGGGAAGGGTAGAGAAGTGGTGTAGAGAAGGGTGAAAAAGAGACTCTCACATTAGGGAGCCCATGAATGGTGAGGATGAATCCCCAAGCATTTGCCTATGAAAGCAAGAGGGGCCAAATTTCCTGAGTTCTTACAACCAGCCAGACTTAGAGCCTGGAATTTTAAAAATCAGCATTCTCAGCTCTGGGAGGGCCTGAAGGGCATTAGGAAGTAGAGTCCCTGTACTTAAAGAGACAGCACAGCTCTGCAGATATAGAAGTTTGAAAAAATGCCAGGGGCAGATGGGAGGAAGAGTGATTTGCTAATCTCAGAGCATGACCAGGAGAGACAGGAATCATGGGGACACCCCTCCAGGAACAAAGAAGCTAGCAGGTGCCATTTCCCTCTCCCCCTCCTCAGCATAAAAAACAGAAACCTGCAGGAACCAGTGCAGCCAACACTCACTACTTACTACCTAACTTGCTTATGCCAAGCCCCACCCTTTCATGCTTTAGCAGATCTGCCCTTCCCAGCCACACTGGTCTCAATCCCACTTCTGCATGCCCTCTCCTTCAGGAGACCAGCGCAAACCCTACCAACACCGCATCTCCCTACCTGCGCATTTTGTGGGACCTCAGGTCTGGTGGCAGCAGGGGCAGGTCTCATTTCACAAGCAGACCATGGTACACCTTGCTAAAATGTGCCCCACCCCTACTGGGGACCAAACACTGCCCACAATAGGCAAAGAGAGCCTCTGCAGACAATGGGACTGAAGGAAAAAGAGGCCAGGACTCAATGGCAGAGCACACACAACACACATAGGAGATACTCCCTGAATTTCCAAGCCCTGGGGACTGGGGACACTGCACGGTGGGGCACTACAGGACGTGTTCTTCATAAGGCTATTACTGTTAAGAGTAAGAGTAAGAGAAGTGGCTGACTTTCCTAACATACAGAAACAGACACAGAGAGCTAGACAAAATGAGGAGACAGAGAAATATGTCCCGAATGAAAAAGCAGGACCAAACCACAGCAAGAGACCTAAGCGAAATGGATATAAGTAATATGCCTGATAGAGAATTTAAAGTAATGATCATAGGGGTGCCTGTGTGGCTCAGTTAGGTGTCTGACTCTTGATCTCGGCTCAGGCCTCAATCTCAGGGTTGTGAGTTCAAGCCCCACGTTGGGCTCCACACACACACAAAAAACCACACACACAAAATAAGGTAATGATCATAAAGATACTTACCGGACTTGAGAAAAGAGTGAAAAGCATCAGTGAGACCCTAACACAGAGATAAAAAAAAAAAAGAACCAGTAAGAGATCAAGAACACAATAAATGAAATTAAAAATACACTTGATGGAATAAATGCAGGCTAGATGAAGTAGAGGAATGAACTGATGACCTAGAAGACAGCGTAAAGGAAATTTACCAAGCTTAGCAAAGGAAAGAAAATTATGCAAATTGAGAATAACCTTAGAGAATTCAGTGACTCCAGGATTTCCTTTATAGGGATCTCATAAGAAGAAGAGAGAAAAAAAGGGGTAGAAAGTTCATTTGAAGGAATAATAGCTGTCAATTTCCCTAATCTGGGGAAAGAAACAGCTATCCAGATCCAGGAGGCATCTAGAAATCCCCCCCGTCCCCAATTCAACCAAGGAGGTCCATACCAAGGCACAAAGTAATTAAAATGGTAAAAGTAGTGATAAAGAAAAAAAATGTAAAAGAAGCAAGAGAAGAAGACAGTTACATACAAGGGAAACCTCATCAGGCTATCAGTGGATGTTTCAACAGAAACTTTTCAGGCCAGAAGAAAGTGGCATGATATCTTTAAAGTGCTGAAAGGGAAAAATCTGCAGCCAAGAATATCCAGCAAGGCTATCAATCAGAATAGAAGGAGAGATAAAGAGTTTCTCAGACAAACAAAAACTAAAGGAATTCATGACAGCTAAACCAGCCCTACAAGAAATATTAAGGGGGACTTTTTGAGTGGAAAGGAAAGACCCTAAGTGAGCAAGAAAAGTAAAAACACAAACAGCAAAAATAAGTATTTCTAAAAAAATTAGTCAAAGGATTCAGTAAATAAAAAGGGGGAAGGTGTAAAATATGACACCATATACCTAAAATGTGGTGGATAGAAGAGCAAAGGATGGGTTCAAACTTAAGTGACCATCAACTTAATATGGAATGCTATGTACAGAAGATGTTATATGCTGAATGATAACCACAAATCAAAACCCAGTAATAGATATGCAAAGAATAAAGAGAAAGGAATCCAAGTATATCATTAAAGAAAGCCAACAAACCATGAAAGAGAGCAAGAGAAGAAAGGATCAGAGAAAATCTATAGAAACAACCATAAAACAAGTAATAAAATAGCAATAAATATGGGCCTATCAATAATTACTTTGAATATAAGTGGATTAAACACTCCAATCAAAAGACATAGGGTGACAGAGTGGATAAAAAACAAGACCCAGGGGCGCCTGGGTGGCTCAGTCGTTAAGTGTCTGCCTTCGGCTCAGGTCATGATCCCAGGGTCCTGGGATTGAGCCCCGCATCGGGCTCCCTGCTCGGCGGGAAGCCTGCTTCTCCCTCTCCCACTCCCCCTGCTGTGTTCCCTCTCTCGCTGTGTCTCTCTCTGTCAAATAATAAATAAATTTAAAAAAATCTTAAAAAAAAAAAAAAAAGACCCATCTATGTGCAGCCTACAAGAGACTCATTTCAGACCGAAAGACACTTGCAGATTGAAAGCGAGGGAATGGAGGAGTGCCTGGCTGGCTCAGTCGGAAGAGCATGCGACTCTTGATCTTGGAGTTGTGAGTTTGAGCCTCACTTACTTAAAAATAAAATCTTTAAGGGTGCCTGGGTGGCTCAGTTGGTTAAGCATCCGACTCTTGCTCTCAGCTCAGGTCTTGATCTCAGGATCATGAGTTCAAGCCCTGCACTGGGCTCCATGCTGGGCCTGGAACCTACTTAAAAAAAAAAAAAAAATTAAAAAGGCGCTTGTGTGGCACAGTCAGTTAAGCAACCGACTCTTGGTTTCAGATTAGGTCCTGGTCTCCGGGTCGTGGAATCAAGCCCTGCGTCAGGCTCCATGCTCAGCCTGGAGTCTGCTTGGGATTCTCTTACTCCTCTCCTTCTGCCTCTCCACCCCACATGTGACTTGCATGTGCACTCTCTCTCTCTCCAAAACAAATGAATCTTTTTTTTTTTTACAGAATGATGTTGCCTGTGGGATTTTTTTTTTAATTAAAATAAAAAAAATCTTTAAAAATAAAAGAACAAAAGTGAGGGGGTGGAGAAACATTTATCATGTAAATGGATATCAACAGAAAACTGGGGTAGCAATACTTATATTGGACAAAATGACTTTAAAATAAAGACTGACAAGAGACAAAGAAGGACATTATATTAAAAGGGACAACCCATGGGGCGACTGGGTGGCTCAGTCAGTTAAGTGGCTGCCTTCAGCTTGGGTCATGATCCCAGAGTCCTGGGATCGAGCTCCACGTTGGGCTCCCTGCTCAGTGGAGAGCCTGCTTCTCCCTCTCCCTCTGCCTGCCTCTCTGCCTACTTGTGCTCTCTCTCTCTCTCTGTCAAATAAATAAATAAAATCTTAAAAAAAAAAAAAAGGACAATCCAACAAGAGGATATAACAATTGCAAATGTTTGTGCGCCCAACATGGGAGCACCTAAATACATAAAACAGTTAATAACAAACATAAAGGAAATAATAGATAGTAATACAATAATGGTAGGGGACCATAACACCATACTTATATCGATGGGCAGATCATTTAAACAGAAAATCAACAAGGAAAGAGTGGCTTTGAATGACACGCTGGACCAGATGGACTTAATAGCCACATTCAGAACATTTCTTCCTAAAACAGCAGAATACACATTCTTTTCAAGTGCACATGGAACATTTTCCAGAATAGATCACATTTTAGGCCACAAAACAAGTCTCAACAAATCCAAAAAGTTGAAGTCATATCATGCATCTTTGCTGACCACAACAGTGTGAAACTAGAAATCAATGATAAGAAAAAATCTGGAAAAATTGCAAATACATGGAGGTTAAATAACATGCTACTAAACAATGAATGTATCAACCAAGAAATCAAAAAGGAAATAAAAAATTACATGGAAGAGTGCCTGATTGGTTCAGTTGGAAGAGTATGGGACTCTTGATCTTGGAGTCGTGAATTTCAAGCCACACTTTGGGTGTAGAGATTACTAAAAAAATAAAAATAAATAAATAAATGAAAGAAAAAAAAGAAACTTAATAAAATTATGTCAAAACAAATGAAAATGAAAACACAATGGTCTAAATCTTTAGGATGTGGCAAAAGTGGGTTGTAAGAGGGAAGTTTATAGCACCACAGGCCTACTTCAAGA